AGTTTGTTCAAAGTTAAATGAACATTAAATATTAACAAGTCTTTATCTTTACAGAATAAAACTAAAATAACAGCCTCATGCAAAGCATTCTGGGAACCAAAATCTGAAGGAAAAAAACAGAAAAAGGTTGATGAAGATTTCTGGTTCCCAGAATGCTTTGCATTAGATTGTTATTTTATCATTTTATTCTGTAAAGACAGAGACTTGTTCTTGTTTAATGTTCATTTAACTTTGAACAAACTGTTGCCAGTAAATATACATCAATTTAAATCTACAGTAAGTTACTGGCAAACAGCTGCATAACTACAGCAATTTTTTTACAGTGCAGCCTTAAATGAAATATTCAACATTTTTGCCATGACAGGATCCTTTTACTTTATTGGAGACGTGTTTATTTGAATATTTGAGCTCTACCGTTGAGAGATGTTTTTAGCACTGATGTAAACATAAGGGGATACTGCATGTCTCATAGGATATGAGCATTAGGGATTTTCCTCCCGTTCATGCTGAATCATTCGCATCCCTTTTTTTCATCCTGGAAATTTGGCAAATTTCAAATCCTAAAGTCTTTTGCTTCTGTCCTCTTCAACGGTGCTTAGAACATGTTCATAAGACACAGTAGACAGTGATGAAAGTGATTTCCATTTCTGTAAGCTGTGTTGGATAAAAGTGTCTGATAAATGCCTTAAATGGAAATATTTGGGTTATCAAACATTTCTATATGTGTCCCTATTCTATATGTGTCCCATTTCTATGAGTGTCAAAATAACCAATGTCTGTAATCATAAGTCATAAATCTTGGTAACACTTTACAATATGGTTACATTAGTTAACATGAACTAAGAATGAACAATAGTTACAGCATTTATAATCTTTTTTTTTTTTTTTACTTGTTCTCAACATTTACTAATACATTATTAAAATCTAATTTTGTATTTGTTAACATTAGTTAATGCACTTGGAAATGACATGAACAAACAATGAACAACTGTATTTTTTATGAACTAATGTGAACAAAGATTAATAAATACAGTAACAAATGTATTGTCCATTGTTAGTTCATGTTAGTTAATACATTAACTAATGTTAACAAATGAGGCCTAATTGTAAAGTGTTACCGAAATCTCCTGATAAACATTTCTCATGAAAATCTTAAAAAGATCTCTCTAGCAGCAGCAAAATATATAGCAGCAGCAAAACAGTGACAAAAGAAGTATGTCCGAATTCACAGTACTCATAAAAGAGTTGGCAAAAAGCACATGGATGACCGACTTCTTCCTGTGAGATTCTGAAGTGTGCATACGATAGACACTTTACTATCCCACGGGAGGCCACGGGAGAGGATTTATGAATGACAGTGAAACGACGTATCTGACGCTGGTAGGTCACATGATAAGGGTAACAGGGCAGATGTAGTAAAAGAACATATTTTTTTATTAGTGGTCGTGAAATAATTACTTACCTACTCAAGAGAGTATGCGATTTTGAATGCAGCCCAAACAGTATCGCAGTGGTTCTCAACCCTGGTCCTGCCCCCAAATAATCACACACACCTTACCCAGGTCATCAGCTCATGAGTAGACAATCCAAGACCTGAGATGGGTCTGTCAGACAAAGGAGATACCCAAAACGTACAGTGTTGGAGGGCCACCAGGACCAGAGTTGAGAACCACTGCTGTGCTGTATAAAGCACTATAGAAAAAAGGTGACTTGACTTGAGTTTGAAGACTCACAAATACCTTTACATTATGTATTGATGTATTTATCAGCGGTTTGCAATATGTAACCCTTGCTGAATTTTACAGCCACTTTTTCCCAGTTTCACCGACAATAGTCCCAGACTAAAATGCATGTTTGAGCTGTCTTAACTCAATATCTTAAAGTATGTCACTGCCATTGTTTTGTCTCAAGATGCACACCATTAATGTTTTTTCTAAGGCACGTTTATAAAAGCAACTTAAAGGTAGGGTAGGCAATTTCAGAGAGGCTAGCAATAGCAAGCTAGCTTTGAAAGCATGCGATCCCACCCTCTCTTCAAAGCATCTCCAAAGCCACGCCTCCTTCAAAACACATGAACTCACACAGCAGAGTCTGCAAAGCGTCACGAAAGACTTACTTCAAATCTCAAAGCACATAAAATTACAATAATGATGAACAACTTGAAGAGCTCTAGTTGTACCACCTGACTGCTGCAGTTTATTTCGGCATTGATAGTGTTGCCATTGAAACAAAAAATTCAAGGCGTTCGGGTTTGGTGTCTCGTGTCGCAAATCCAATGAGGCTGGTAGTGACGATTCTCTCTGACCAATCAGTTATCTGCAGTGTTTACATGTCACATTTTGGTATTGGTACCTCAACCGAGGTGGTACTATTTAAGTGAGCCGTACCGAGACGTACTATGCTGTGGAAAAGCACCATAAGCCTTGTCTGTGAAACTGCGCCTTCTTATCTCTCGTAAATTTTCATTTGGGGGAAAATATTGGCAGATTTGGTCACTCACAATAAATAATGTGCAATCAGCTCACCTTCATGCACACACACACACACACACACACACACACACACACACACACACAGAGGCCAGATTCATGTCGGCCCCTTAAACTAAATGAAACCGGTTCCCTTTTATTGATTGTTTCTTTTATAGCGTAGTGAGAGGGAATACTTTGAGGGAATTACTCACGCTCCCGACGCAAAGTGCTCTTGTGTGCGGCTAACATTGGCCTGTGAATGAGGAGCTGTGTTTGCTCAACTGAACTCCAGAGCACAATCAGGTTTTGCAAGATTGGAGGTAGCTCTGTCTCGAACCAACTGGAGAGCAGCCAAGCTTTTGCAGGAGTTGCTCTTTTCTTCTGTGCGATATTTACTTTACAAGCTATTCAGGGCAACCAACCAGGCCTAGACAGACAAGCACGGAAAAAAAGACTCACAAAGTCCCTCTTTAACACATATTCATCTCAGGTATTGACACAACAGTGAGGTTCCAATGAAATTAGTAGAGATGTTGAGCTCGGTATGAACTGGAAGGGGTGGTTCACGTGTGATCGGTCCGAGCCGGGAAGGGGGTGGACGTGGGGGCATGGCGTGACTCGTACTCTTTATTGCAGGATAGAGGATTGAGTCTGTCCTCTTTTATGGGAAATGAATGAATAAACATTGGCGAGTCATTCTTTTGTCGTGACTCACAGACATACTTTCAAGCATGATAGGTATAATAGGGAAATAAAGCAGTTGTGTAATTTGACGGTGAATTCTTTTGGATGGATGCCACGGTGTAAAACAACAACATGTACGGGCAAGGTAGAAAGTCGATTTACTTCCCCTCCTTTTGTGTGCTGGTCGCTATTGTGAAAACTGAGATCTCTGTGATTAGAGATTCAGAGATCGCTGATGCGTCTGACCCACACACTGATCTGCACATTTCTTTTGCTGTGATGTTTGGTAAATAATGAAGTTTTATTGTTGGTTGTCCATTAAAGGGACAGTTAACCCAAATGTGAAACATTTACTCACCCTCGTGTCGTTCAAAAAAAAAATGTCTATGGATGTACCATAATATTTATGATAAAAGCATAATAATGTATTTTATTCAACCTGTGTGCTTTATTTCATGTCTTCTGATGTCATTCAATAACTTTTTGGTAGGAATAGAGGAACAGTCATTTTAATCTTGCCTTCGGCTGTAGATCTCAGATTTACACTTCAAAAGGCAGAAGAGTAAATATCGATTTCTAATGAATTTTTGGTCTGTTCCCCTATATCAGGTTTTACCAATTTGAGGTTGTGTAGATGCTGACTGAATGTTCATTATTTGGTGAACTGTCCCTTTAATAGTGTAGTTCACCCAAAAATGACAGTTCTGTCATAATGTATTCTCTTTGTCATTTTAATACATTTTGGGTAATCTACAAACTGATCTTTTATAGGCAAACTAATAAAAGTACCACAGAAATAGTCCATACTTCACATATGAAGCCATACGATTGCTTTATGTTCGAAATTTAAGCTTGACGAAATCTCAATGGCTCATTTGCATCTCTTCAAAGACTTAATATATATATAACATAAGCATAATAATATAACATTTATTCATCCAAATGCCATTCCAAGACATTTTGGAGAATCTTTAAACTTCACTTTTCCATACAATAAAAGTAAACAGTGATCAAACACCATAAAAACTACCATAAAAATACTCAATAATACAATAAATGTATCAAAATGTTTGTTCTTATTTGTAGCTCTGAAATCTCATTGTTTCATTTGCATCTGTTCGTCACACAAAACTATTGTATGACTTCAGAAGACTTAAGAAATGTAGAGCATGAACTAGTTTTACGGTACTTTTACGGCGCTTTTTTGTGACACCAGTTTCCCCATTCACTTTCATTGTTATAAAAAAAGAAAAAACATAGGTTTGCAACAACATGGGGGTCAGTAAATGATGACAGAATGTTCATAATTTGCTGAACTATCCCTTTAAAAGTGAAATTTGCTCCGAAATGATAGTTCTGTCATCATTTATTCACTCTGGATATTTTGGGGAATCTACAAACTTGCTCTTTTCCATACAATGAACCAAAGAAACCATAAAGTACCACTTTTGTGCTTAAACTGCAAGTGTTCTGAAGCCATAGGATAGATTTGTGTCCAAAATGTACATTTTTGTTTGAGTTTATATCTGTCCGTCACACAAAACGTTCATATCACTTCAAAAAGACTTTAAATATGGAGCATGGACTAGTTTTACAGTGCTTTTTTTTAATGCTACATCCCCATTTACTTTCACTGTATAGTAAAGAGCAGCGTGAACATTTTGCATAACATCTCTTTTTGAGTTTCTTCAAGGAAAAAAAAGAAAAACACAGGTTTGGAACGGCACGAGGGTGTGTAAATGATGATAGACTTTTCATTCTTGGGCAAAACATCCCTTTAAAGTTGGTCAGAACCGGGCAGTATAGGTGTATTAACTGCAATTTCTGTCTGATATTGTTCGGTAGGACACAGACAGAAAATGGAAGACCCCCCAAAACCGCCGCTGTTCTCCGAGCGCCTGAGCGAGTTAGAGCGTTTACGCCAGACCAGCATGAGAGTTGCCGTGCAAACCCAGAGTCCCCGGCCGTCTCTCAACGCCACGCCGAACTCCTTCAATCCACAGGGGCAAACTCAGATCTCAGGTAAACCGGCCCAGGCATTTTCCTTTCCCTTTAACGCAGATATTTTAGTCTGTCTGGCCGTCAGCCTTCGTCTGGCGTGATCTTTAATGGCGAGCCGCTTGGTTTGTGTACTGTACAAGCATCTGTATTTGGAGAACAGGTAGGTTTATTCAAGGCATTTGCCGAAGATAAGCCTGCAGAGATAAAAGAGAGTGGGTGAGAGGCAAGCTTCATGATGCAAGAAATAGAAATGCCACACAGTGGTTTTCAGAGTGAATCAGATTTAAACATGGAGATACGGATAGACGTGCCAGGTCTGACAGTCTCAGATCCCTTTGTCTACTTTTACTGGAACGAGGCATTATCTTTGTTTGGGATTGGCTGCTTACATCACCTTAAAGGGATAGTTCACCCAGAAACGAAAAGTCATTATTTACTCACCCTCATGTCATCCCAAAAACCCGAGTTTCTTTCTTCCATGAAACACAAAAGATGTTTTGAAGAATTTGTATGCTTCTCTTGGCCAGACAACAACAAAGCAGCATAGAAGAATGATTTTTACAACATTTTTGAAGGCTTCAGAAATCATATGACAGTTTTAAGTGAGGAACAGACTCAATTTTAAATCTCCCCCTCCGTTGTATAGCTCTCAAATCACACACAACAGGTTCTGGCGAAGATTAATGAAGATTCCTTTTCTTTTTTGTTCCACGGAAAAAATAACAGCTTACGGGTTTGGAACGACATTAGAGTGAGTAAATAATGACAGGTTTTCTTTTTTGGGTGAACTATTGCTTTAATTCCATTACATTTGTCCAAATATTTTCATTAGTTCCTGCTTCACTTTTGGCATATTGGAGCTTGGGGTATTTTTTTATTTTATTTCACATATGCGCTCAGCTTTAGAGTTTGCATAATGTTTGCCATTCTCTTGGATGGTCTCCAGTCCCACTCCTGTCGGAGCAGACGCTGTGTTTACTAGAATACTGTAGAAAGCAAACAGGAAACCGTTCTTGGCTCTGAATGTGATTAAGCTATTTACATACCATGGCCTTTTCTACTAGTCAGCTCGGTCTTGGTCTTCATATTGTTATAAAAAGAAAGGTCACCCACTTTGTGTGCACAATGAGTCTTTTTAAATGTGGCTCATAAAGAAGGACTCTTCTAAGGGTGAACCTCAATAACATGTCCTAGTTACCCAAAAATATAAGAAATGTATTAATTATATGTAAAATAAATTATATATAAAACATTATAGTCAATACAAATATGCAGTAAAATTACATTAAATCTAAATAATAATCTAAATAATATTTATGTAATTTCAATTGTTTTGAATGATGAATATGTCATATTATATTATTATATCATATATTCTATATTTAATAAGCTAAATATAATAAAATGTATTAATAATTATTTATGAATTGATTAATAAAATTAATAATTAAATTAAAGCAGTATATATATACTGCTTTTAATTATTTTATTATTAATTTAATGTATAGGTGGCGGTAAATGTCTGAATGTGTAAGGTCATTTATTCATTCGATTCGTTCAAACGGCTGATTCATTCAGGAACGAAGTACATGGGTGTTTCTCAAACAGAAGGCTGCATCCCGAGACTGTGTCCTACCTAGTCCAGTCCTTCTGAGGCTTGTAAGCTTGTGTCTCCTCAGCGATTAAACGCTAGAATAATAAATAAGACGGTCTAGTAAGAGCGCATGCATGGCTACGTCACACGTTCCCGCCACTGCGGTCACGGCACGGAAATACTATTAAAACTTAATTTTAGACTGTTTTTTTATTATTGCAATACAGTGAATGACAGATATCTGTGTCTCCCATTGGCTTACATTATTGTCAGTTTAGTGTTGATTAATTTACACCAAAACAAAAGATAGCATCTGCTTTCATGTCCGAAAACATTATTTTTGTCTTACATTTAATCATAAACTCAGACAAGTTCAGTACCGACTCGTTTTCTGTCAGTTTATTTTTGTGAATTGGAATATGTGCAAAGGATTGTGGGTGATTTAAGTCCGCGAAGGATACATCCTTCAAAATGAGCCTTCTAAGGATCCTTCAAACTGAGACGGCCTTCAGCGACGTTTGATGACGTGGACGTTTGATGACGTTTTCTTCCGTTTGAGAAACACCCAATGGCTCCCATTGAATCATTGGTTCACCCGATTGATTCGCTCAAACCGCGGATTCATTCAGAAAGGAAGCACTATTGTGTGTTGCTCGGAGACTCACAAAAGTTCTGCTCTGGCTGTATAGGTAATATTTTCGTTGGCAGAAATATGCAAAAGCAGACAATATTGTGTCTCAAATATGACACAATATTAACTTTTATTTAACTGTTGTATAAAATCAATATGACATTTGAACTTGTGCTATTCGGGACAAAACATATCACACGCTTGTTACTTGTGTGATATTGCTTAACTACATCATGATATAAATATCCAGGGGCATGAGTTGTTGCACTGCTTCATGTTTGTCACCAATTTCGTTGGTCCTGGGTGCGTTAAATGCATAATTTTAAGGTAATTTTTCCCCACAGCTAATGAATTAAATTAACGCGTTAAATCGACAGCCATATAAATCACACTCACAGAAAAAGCATCTTTGATCGTGCTCGTGGCATCGTCTCTGACTGGTGTCGTCTCATTTATCATCTTCACAGATCCGCGGCAGGCACAATCCTCTCCGCCCTGGTCCTACGAGCAGCCGTACACTCCATACCTGAGCCAAATGACATCTCCCTCCATCCACTCCACCACCCCGCTGTCCTCCACCCGCGCCACGGGCCTGCCCACCATCAGCGACGTGCCAAGACGCCTCTCAGGTACAGAAATCACTAATAAGACCTTCATTATCTCAACTGTTTCTAGACGGCAGCGACGAGATTAATAGCAGAACAAATGGAGACTTCTGCTAAAGTTTCCACCTGAATTTCAGATCTCAACAATGTCTCAAACTGTGCTCAGATGCCAACGCCTGTCAAAGTCAGCTATAAACTCAAGCATTTCTCAACAAGATCAAATCATCCGAGCTGCTTGACATAGACTTTATAATGGAAGCTTGTTTCCGCCACAGAATAAAAATAAAAAAGGTAATTGGGACTTTTTAATTCACAATTCTGACTTTTTTTCCTCACAATTGCGAGTTTACATCTTGCAATTCTGACTTTTTATCTCTGAATTGCGTGATATAAAACCGCAATTGTGTTATAAAGTCAGAATTGAGTGATATAAAGTCGCAATAGTGTGTTATAAAGTCAGAATTGAGTGATATAAAGTCGCAATAGTGTGTTATAAAGTCAGAATTGAGTGATATAAAGTCGCAATAGTGTGTTATAAAGTCAGAATTGATGATATAAAGTCGCAATAGTGTGTTATATAGTCAGAATTGATGATATAAAGTCGCAACAGTGTGTTATAAAGTCAGAATTGATGATATAAATTCGCAATAGTGTGTTATAAAGTCAGAATTGATGATATAAAGTCGCAATAGTGTGTTATAAAGTCAGAATTGATGATATGAAGTCGCAATAGTGTGTTATAAAGTCAGAATTGATGATATGAAGTCGCAATAGTGTGTTATAAAGTCAGAATTGATGATATGAAGTCGCAATAGTGTGTTATAAAGTCAGAATTGATGATATAAAGTCGCAATAGTGTGTTATAAAGTCAGAATTGATGATATAAAGTCGCAATAGTGTGTTATAAAGTCAGAATTGATGATATGAAGTCGCAATATTGTGTTATAAAGTCAGAATTGATGATATGAAGTCGCAATAGTGTGTTATAAAGTCAGAATTTATGATATAAAGTCGCAATAGTGTGTTATAAAGTCAGAATTGATGATATGAAGTCGCAATATTGTTATAAAGTCAGAATTGATGAAATGAAGTCGCAATATTGTGTTATAAAGTCAGAATTGATGATATAAAGTCGCAATATTGTGTTATAAAGTCAGAATTGATGATATGAAGTCGCAATAGTGTGTTATAAAGTCAGAATTGATGATATGAAGTCGCAATAGTGTGTTATAAAGTCAGAATTGATGATATGAAGTCGCAATAGTGTGTTATAAAGTCAGAATTGATGATATGAAGTCGCAATATTGTGTTAAAAAGTCAGAATTGATGATATGAAGTCGCAATAGTGTGTTAAAAAGTCAGAATTTATGATATAAAGTCGCAATAGTGTGTTATAAAGTCAGAATTTATGATATAAAGTCGCAATAGTGTGTTATAAAGTCAGAATTTATGATATAAAGTCGCAATAGTGTGTTATAAAGTCAGAATTGATGATATGAAGTCGCAATATTGTGTTATAAAGTCAGAATTTATGATATGAAGTCGCAATATTGTGTTATAAAGTCAGAATTGATGATATGAAGTCGCAATAGTGTGTTATAAAGTCAGAATTGATGATATGTAGTCGCAATATTGTGTTATAAAGTCAGAATTGATGATATGAAGTCGCAATATTGTGTTATAAAGTCAGAATTGATGATATGAAGTCGCAATATTGTGTTATAAAGTCAGAATTGATGATATGAAGTCGCAATATTGTGTTATAAAGTCAGAATTGATGATATGAAGTCGCAATATTGTGTTATAAAGTCAGAATTGATGATATGAAGTCGCAATAGTGTGTTATAAAGTCAGAATTGATGATATGAAGTCGCAATATTGTGTTATAAAGTCAGAATTGATGATATGAAGTTGCAATATTGTGTTATAAAGTCAGAATTGATGATATTAAGTCGCAATAGTGTGTTATAAAGTCAGAATTGATGATATGAAGTCGCAATATTGTGTTATAAAGTCAGAATTGATGATATGAAGTCGCAATAGTGTGTTATAAAGTCAGAATTGCATGATATAAAGTCGCAATTGCGTGTGATAAAGTCAGAATTGTGAGTCAGTCTTTTTTCCTTACATTTGAACTTTATAACTCACAATTGCGACTTTATATCTCACAATTCTGAGAAAAGATGTCAGAATTGCATGATATAAACTCACAATTGCGTGTTATAAAGTAAGAATTGCGAGTTTATGTTTATATCTCGCAAATCATAACACGCAATTGCGACTTTATATCATGCAATTCTGACTTTATATCTCGCTATATTGTCAGATGAAAAGTCGCAATTATCTTTTAAAATGTTTTATTCTGTGGCGGGAAGTGGGAACAGGCTTTCAATACTGTATAGCTCTCTTTATATATACTCTTAGGGTATTAGTGTCTATTTGTGTTCCTTATAAAGGTATTGTATGACAAACATTTGAATCCAAATTGATATTTAAAGTCTAAATGTAGATTTTCAGCCTGTACCTGCGAACATCAATGTTAGACTCATTTTTTAACCCAGATTTTTATCAGATAGGATAGAAAACAAGCCCCACGCTACCTTTTTTTATCATAGAATATCCTGTTTCACACAGATACACATCAGATTACAGAAGTAGTGAAGTGAAATGGCGTTTCACTTGTTGACGCTACATGAATCATAACTGAGCTATTAAAGAGTACCCTTGGAGAAATGAAATTCTCCTGAGGGCCTTATCACTTTCTCAGACAACCTCTCATTTGAGAAATGTGGGAAATAGTGTCTCAATGTGTCTGTATTTACTTTCTCAGCTGATCGTGTTAGCCGTGAACATTTGTTAAAACACTCATTCGCTTCTTTCTTCACTGAAGTCAAATCAAAGCATTTTTCCAGCGTTAACTTTCTGCTTTGTAAGCGTTTGTTACTTCGCCTGTGGGCAAATGTCTTCCAAGCAATAGCACCTTTAAAAATAGAGAGCATTTGAAAGAATATCTCCTCTAACCCCCCGTCCTCTCCAATGGAGTCTTTGAACTCAACTCCCTTTTGAAATGCCTTTAAAAGGAACAAGAGTTTCTGACTCATGGAACTCAAAAGGTAAGCGTGTAGCGCATAATGTGTCCATGGACTTTGGGATTTTAAGTCAAAATTTGTGTATGTCATAAGTTCTATAACTTGTCCTCACTAGATCACTGTAAATGATGCTCCAGTGAAATGTTTTTAAAAAAATGCTTTTTTCAGCATTATGGTGCTCTTCAGCCATTTTTGACCGAAAAATTTTAAGGTTTTTTTTTTTTTTTTTTTTTTTTTTTTTTTACTTCATCGGAATGGTACGAAACTTGGTAAAGGTTTTGGCACTTTCTATGTGAACACACACAAAAAAATCATGGACATGATTCGAAAAGGTTAAATGGTCCTGAAAAAAATAGTCACACTTGTGCTCCTCGAGGTCAAAAATGACGAATTTCATCTAGTGAAATCTTTTGGTACTGCAGCCAAACAAAATCTTACTGAAAGCTAATTTTTTTAGATATCAAGCTCAAATTTGGAACACAACATATTTAGATTTTTGACTTTGACTTGGGAATAATTTGCCAAGTGCTGTCTTTAAAAAGAGATCAAACTTAAGTCTGTGCTTCAAAACATTCAAAATTTATGACAGTTTAAGTTGGAAATTTAATGCGTGAATAAATGGGTTATAACTACTGCGTAAATATAATGCAGTACCATAAAATCCCCTAAAAATACAACATATTAAATAAAAACATTATCAAACTAAAATACAGTCAATTCCTTTCATTGAAATAAAAAATAAAACAATTCATTTTTAACCGCCATGCACGCGGAGAGCGCCAGAGGGTTCAAATGATCTAGGAAAGACAAAAAAAATCACATTTCATTGTTTTAAAATTGCATTTCAATACATATGAGCTTATAACAGTTTTAGAGGGGGAAAATATTTCTCGTCAGCTATGCAAACGCTCTTGAGTCCAAACCTTTGGAAGAGTTTGCTGTGACTGCCTTTATTAATGAAATAGGCACCAGATTGTGGTCCACCCACCCTTTGGGGGTGGACGATTTCTTTAATACACCTGTTTGACTCTCCGCCAGGTTGGTTTTTGAACTCTCTTTTTTCTTTTGGCTCCCCACCCTAACTGATTTCTTTGAGCCTGAAGCGAATATGAAAGTTTAAATGACTTCTTGGTGTGGCTGCTTTTTGAACCCCGGCCAGCTGCCTCGTTGGGTTTGATTAGTTTAGATTTCACCCTGCTTTCATCTTGGAGATGTCAGCCTTTGTTCTTTCCTCAAAGAGACACACGCACCTCTTGGTCCTAACGCCCCCTATTCTTCCTCTGAGCGCGGCTGAATGGAGAAGACACGTCCCGAACGCATCGCACCCTCTGCAGCTGCTCTGCGTGGCTATTCTTCTCTATTCGCTATTCGTGTTACACCTTTCAGCCAGAGAGAACTGGTGACTGATAAGGACGCGGATGAAGGCATGAATAATATTACACAGAGAGCGATGAATTATCAGATTGGGATCACAGGACACTGGAGGACCGCAAAGAACTTTGATTTTCCACGGTTGTGAAAGTATGTTTAAGGAGGGTGATTTCAAAGTACAGTACTTTGAAATATGCAATGACACAGAATGCATAATACAGATCGAATATATACCTTGATTAAAACAGAAAGTGGCTTTGGATAAAAGCATCTGCCAAACGATCTAAGGATCTAACGATCATGTACTCTAAGGTGCAAAACATGTCTGCAAAACATGCAAAACTCTAAATCATGGTATTTAAATGGTAATCCAAGGTATTTTAAAAAAAAAAAACATGTTTTGGTATTCTTTGTCTTCTATGGTACCGAATGATTACCCTTTAAAAAACAGTAATATTGTGAAATATTATTAACATTTACAGTAAAATATCTGTTTTCTATTCAAATATAATAAAAAAAATGTATTCCTGTGATGCAAAGCTGAATTTTCAGCATCATTACTCCAGTCTTCAGTGTCACATGATCCTTCAGAAATCATTCGAATGTGCGGATTCGCTGCTCAAGAAACATTTCTGATTTTTATGAATATTATGTTGAGAACAGTTTAATATTTTTGTGGAAGCCGATACTTTTTTTCAGGAGTCTTTGATGAAAGTTCAAAAGAACAGGATTTATTTAAAATAGAAATATTTTTTAACATTATAAATGTCTTTATTGTCACTTTTGATCAATTGAATGCATCCTTGCTAAATAAAATAATTAATTTCTTTAAAAAAAAAAAGTATTATTGACCGTAAACTTTTGAACAGTAGTGTACATGTACAAAACCATACAAAATACCATAATACGTTTTTGTTAGTGGCTTCTTTTTTGCATGGGCTGTGGAATGGGGAAAAAATGCAAGGTCTCGAGACTCAGCCACTATGTTAAGACCGTGTCTTAAGAACTAGTTTGACCAACTAGCAGTTAGTTACTTACCAGGTAATCAGTCTTACTTTTCCCATTCAAATTAGAACAATCTACCTTTTATGTAACTTAAGTTAGGATCTAACTTAATGAGTAACTTTTAAGACTAGTCTAAGCAGTTTATGCAACCGGCCCCAGATTTTAACTTGAGCTCCGCGTTTTTAAAACGCTGTGTAATGCGCGAGACGCTGCAAAACACACAAGACGCGAGCGCAACGGTTACACGTCACGGTTATACAAGTGTAAAAAATGGAAAAGTATATTGGAATGGAAAAACGCGTTCTGTGTGAACGGCCCCTTAATGTGTCTTCTCAAAGCAGCCCCTGAAGCAACCTGAGGTCATAGGTCAGAAGATCACACTGGTGATAGTTCACAGTTTGAACCTGCATGGTCCTCTTGGTTACCAGCCTTGAGCTTCAGCTAGACCACACCATCCCTGTAATACAAAGTGATTGATGTTGTATTAAGTTTAGCCAAAAAGGGTCTGGCAAGAGCTGATAGCATAATGGGTTCATTCTCGTGAATGTCTGCAGCGAAGAGGGACTTTAATGGTGATTGAAGGTTGTATATGTGAATTTCTGTCATTGTTTTGGAAAAGTGACTAGGGTCTCCTCTCTTCTGCACTGTCTGCCTGAAGTGTCTTTTTTGTTTGGTTTGAAATGTCAAGAGTTGATAATGTGGAGAGGCAATCTGCTCATAATTGGCCACACATGTTCTATAAAGTTTGCCGAGCTGTCACTCATAAAGCGGCTCGCGAACGACATGCGACCGCTCCTAATCCAGCAGATCCTCTGACGCGAAAGACGCCGCTGGATTTATCGGCGTAGAAGAGTACTTTACCTCAGCTGAGAGGAGAGATGAGATTAGATTAGATGAGAGAGTGTTTGACGGAAAGAAAATTAGAAATGGAAATGGGAACAAAAAGGGGAAATGGGAAAGGGGAAATAACAGGAAAGACAGGGAGAAACGGAAATAAAAAGATTTTGGTAGAGGAATATGAGAGGAAAATATCTTGGTTTGTTTGAAAGGAAAGGAAAGGAAAGGAAAGGAAAGGAAAGGAAAGGAAAGGAAAGGAAAGGAAAGGAAAGGAAAGGAAAGGATTTCGGTTTGCTTTTTGAAGTAAAGGAAAAAAAGGGGAAGCTGAAATTGTGAATACTATATTTTAGTTTGTTTGAAAGAAAGGAAAGAAAAAGGAAAACAAAGGAAAAGATTTTAATTTGTAAAGGAAAGGGGAAATGGGAAAAGAAATGGAAAATAGAAAGGTAAGAAAAGGGGGAAAGGAAAGGAAAGGAAAGGAAAGGAAAGGAAAGGAAAGGAAAGGAAAGGAAAGGAAAGGAAAGGAAAGGAAAGGAAAGGGGAAACTGAAATTGGAAAGTTCAGGAAAGGGTAAAAGGGAAAGGGGAAAGGGGAAAGGGGAAATGGGAAATGGGAAAGGGGAAACCGAAAGGAAAAGATTTTGGATTGTTTTAAGTAAAGGAAATAAAAAGAAATGGGAATGCAAAGGTGAAATATAAAGCTTTATATTTTAGTTTGTCTGAAATAAATGAAATAAAAGGGAAACAAAGGAAAAGATTTTAATGTGTAAAGGAAAGGGGAAATGGGGAAGGAAATGGAAAATAGAAAGGTAAGGAAAGGGGAAATTGAAATGGGAAAGGAAAGGAAAGGAAAGGAAAGGAAAGGAAAGGAAAGGAAAGGGGAAATGGAAAGAAAAGAAAAGAGGAGAGGAGTTTAGGATTGTTTATTTATACCCTTTAATTTAGCAGGCGGCTCCATTTGAAAAGCAGATCATGATGAATACACAGTGCAGAAATAGACAGATGTGGAGATGAGGAGATGATAAGATGTTCCTCTGGGATTCTCTCTCCTGGGGTTCTGGGAGTCACAGCCCATTAGTGGTTTATAATTTAAAAACATCTTGTGGTTCTAAGAGAGAAGATCGGCCCTTCTCTTTGGCTAATCGCAGACATGCCACCACATCTGAGACTGCTCATTATGCATCCTGTGGAAACTGTTTTTTCCTCTAAGCGTTTCCATGTGCGCTCCCAGTTTATCCCGACATTTCTCTTTGATATTCATAGAATGCGAGGATGCGTGTGTTTGTGCATGTGAGCGTGAGCGCACACGACGCATTCACATACAAACCCCTGGACAACCTTCAGTGAAGAAACAAACAGCCAAGAGTGAAACTCAAAGCCTGTCAGAAGCGTGTCAGCACCGGTTGACAGTTAGTTTGCATATTGATATTTTATGGCCCGGTGACATTTTTGCAGCATTAGTCTTCATCTTGACCTTGAATCAACCCAAGCATTGTGTAGTTCAGGTTGCAACTAAACGTTTAAATCAAGTTTATGTTTTACTAGGGTAATTAAAAGCCTGACAAACAAGATGAGCCAGTTTCTTCCGTTGGTCAGTTATGTTGGTCTGTTGGTCAATATGTCTTCTCAATTCTGTTCACACACAGTTTAGTACAACCAAATTAACTCTCAAAAATGCAGGTGGTGACATTTACAAAAATTCTGTGCAGTGTGTACGGAAGAAAACCGAACAAGTTGTTAATGATGTACTTCACGATCATGACGATCTGCATCAGGGATGTAGGCTATATCTACACTTACCTGTGTCTCTATGTGTTGTGCAAAAAACTGGGGGGGGGGGGGGGGGGGGGGGATTTGGAGGATTTGCTTAAAGTGACTTTTGTCAATTGCAATTTCAGGATGGAGTCGTGGTCCGCACACACACACGGTACAATAATTTAGGGGATTCACTCCCGTATTTAAATACGGTTTACTGTGTTTACTGTGTGTACTGTGTGTACGGTTTACTGTGTGTATGTGAACTTTTTTCTTGCACTGTGAAGATATGACACTTTCATACCTTAGCATTTCTCAAACACTGAATCTGGTTATTTATAATAACAAAGACAAAGTTGATTTCACTCTAATCAAATTGTTTGGGAAAGCCTCTTCATAATACTTCCACTGATTATTGACTGTTTCATCATTTTGAAGCAAAGAGAAATCCAGTTCATAAAGGGGAGTTTTGTGCAAGGCTATTACTTTGAGTTGTGTGTGAATTAAGTTTGACAGCGCCCTCTTCTGTCTGTTTTAACAATGTCCCTTTATTCATTTCAGTCTAAATTGGTGTGGGTGAAGCTACTTTAAATTATGAGTAGCTTTAATCCTGAGTTTCAAAGCGGTTACAGTCAAGATAGTCTTTTACAAACTACTAACAAAAAGAAGCAAACTATTTTGATGCTATTTAAAGGGGCTATATCTTTACAAATCTATAAATATAAAATGATATCATTTGTTTTGTAATCGGGATATTTGTCTGGTACAAAAACGAATACTTAAAATAGGATTTCAAAGGTGAGCTAATGAATTTACACTAAATAGTTGAAAAGAGTTATAACCCATTGCAGAATTAATTATTTAGCTAAAAAAAAAAAAAAAAAAAGTATAAAATGGCCCACAGAGACTGAAAGAAATGAGTCAATACGTTTTGGAACTGATCTATTTCATGAACTGCCAAAACGAATAGAATTGACTTCTGAATTCTACATGCAATGGGGTCTAAAAGTCTGACATCACATCAAAAATCTGGATTTTTTTTTTTTGGGATTAAAAAATAAAACAAAATAAAAAGAAAATATTTCAGATTCTGCACTTTTCCTATGTCACAATCAGATGAGTAAAAAAGGCAGAATATAATAAAAATTATGGAAACTTTGATGAGAAATGTATACAAATCTATAAATATCAGATTGTTTTATTTACTTTTATAATCAGAGCATTTACAGTCAAACCAAAACTTATTCAGACACCAGATACAATTTTTTATATTTGTTTACTAGTGGGTGCAGGACACTATAGTTCATTTATGTATGTGAGGAGAGCAAAATAAAGTAAACTGTGACATATTATATCCAAACATTATTCATACAGTGGACTACCACTAAAATGTATAAAAATTTGGGACCAAAAATTATTCAGACACTTTGACCTGACCATGTTTTGCTTAAGTGTTTTTCTTTAATTGCTAATGCGACCGTTTTACACCACAGACTGAACAAAATGAAGCATTGCTTGGTAATTGGTTGACCTAAATTGGTATTCTCTAACGGTGTGCTTAAATTTAACAGCTGACAGATATTCAACCTGATTCATTTGTGAGAGTCTAACAGAAGGATGGCCAAAACCAGTGAAATATCAACTGATTTAATAACTCTGAGTTCTTGTCATATTGTATTACCTTTTTTTAAACTATAGAGAATAAACTGTGAGAAATGTTGAAGGTGTCTGAATACATTTTGGTTTGACTGTATCTGGTACATAAATTTGTAAAATTAAGTTGAAAAGCACACTACAATGAATATAATGGAAATTGTATTGAAAAAAGTATAATAGAATTAAGAATCACTGAAAAACTGTTCTTTTCTCTCCACCAGGTGCGTCAGATCTCAGTCCCTTCTCGGCCGACCCTCGGCAGTTTGAACGTCAGTTTCCCGGTCTGTCCACGCTCACGGAAAGCCGTTTCCCCAGTCCCAGAATGCACTATCCTACGACGTTCACGTACACCCCCACTCCGGTCACCTCCGGCATGTCTCTGGGCATCTCCACCAACACCCACTACCACACCTACCTGCCTCCCCCGTACCCCGGCTCCACCCAGAACCAGAGCGGGCCCTTCCAGACCAGCAGCACGCCCTATCTCTACTACGGCGCCTCGTCCGGGTCGTACCAGTTCTCCATGGTGCCGGGGGGAGACCGCTCCCCTTCCAGGATGCTTCCGCCTTGCACTAGCGCGTCCACCGGCAGCTCCCTCATCAACCCAAACCTGCCCAACCAGGCGGACGGGGGCGAAGCGGACGGCAGTCACAGCAGCTCGCCCACCGTGCTCAACTCCAGCGGCAGGATGGACGAGTCCGTTTGGCGACCCTATTGAGACGAACCGTCTCAATAGGCTCAATAGGGTCCAATAGAGACCTCAACGCAGCACTGTTAGCCTTAAAGACAGAGTGCGAGAGATAGTTGCATTTAGGCATGATCGGATTTGAAGCACAAACTCGTTGGTACTCATTGTTGAATGGTTGCAGTGTATTTTATGACTACACTGATGTTGTTTTGATTTTCTAATACGGATGACGATTTATGGCATTAGTCTGATTCATCTGACATTCCACACCGGCTATCGGTGATATAGCAAACGCCGGTCACTGAATTTAAAAGGAATAGTTCACTCAAAAAATTCAAATGTACTGCCTCATATCGTTTTAAAAGGATTTTTAGTACAACTTTAGATAATACACAGCTCTTAAAGAGATTGTTCACCCAAAATGTCAAATTCTGTCATTAATTACTGAGATGAAATCTGAGAGATTCCTGTCCCTCTGTTGTCAGCTATGCAACTACTACTTTGTCGCTTCAAAGAGCTCATAAAGAGATTGTAAAACTAATCCATATGAATTGAGCGGTTGAGTCCAAATTTGACTCCAAGAAGAGACACGATCGCTTTATATGATGAACATTGAATTTAGGCTTTTATTCACATATAAACATTCATCAACTCACACAACAGTTCATTCTCGTGTTACGCAGCACGTTTGAGCTTCTGCAAGAACCAATGAGGTTCATTCTCGTGTTACGCAGCACATTTGAGCTTCGGCAAGAACCAATGAGGTTCATTCTCGTGTTACGCAGCACGTTTGAGCTTCTGCAAGAACCAATGAGGTTCATTCTCGTGTTACGCAGCACATTTGAGCTTCGGCAAGAACCAATGAGGTTCATTCTCGTGTTACGCAGCACATTTGAGCTTCGGCAAGAACCAATGAGGTTCATTCTCGTGTTACGCAGCACGTTTGAGCTTCTGCAAGAACCAATGAGGTTCATTCTCGTGTTACGCAGCACATTTGAGCTTCTGCAAGAACCAATGAGGTTCATTCTCGTGTTACGCAGCACATTTGAGCTTCGGCAAGAACCAATGAGGTTCATTCTCGTGTTACGCAGCACGTTTGAGCTTCATTAAGAACCAATGAGGTTCATTCTCGTGTTACGCAGCACATTTGAGCTTCGGCAAGAACCAATGAGGTTCATTCTCGTGTTACGCAGCACATTTGAGCTTCGGCAAGAACCAATGAGGTTCATTCTCGTGTTACGCAGCACGTTTGAGTTTCAGCAAGAACCAATGAGGTTCATTCTCGTGTTACGCAGCACGTTTGAGCTTCTGCAAGAACCAATGAGGTTCATTCTCGTGTTACGCAGCACGTTTGAGCTTCTGCAAGAACCAATGAGGTTCATTCTCGTGTTACGCAGCACGTTTGAGCTTCAGCAAGAACCAATGAGGTTCATTCTCGTGTTACGCAGCACGTTTGAGCTTCAGCAAGAACCAATGAGGTTCATTCTCGTGTTACGCAGCACGTTTGAGCTTCTGCAAGAACCAATGAGGTTCATTCTCGTGTTACGCAGCACGTTTGAGCTTCATTAAGAACCAATGAAGTTCATTCTCGTGTTACGCAGCACATTTGAGCTTCTGCAAGAACCAATGAGGTTCATTCTCGTGTTACGCAGCACGTTTGAGCTTCATTAAGAACCAATGAGGTTCATTCTCGTGTTACGCAGCACATTTGAGCTTCGGCAAGAACCAATGAGGTTCATTCTCGTGTTACGCAGCACATTTGAGCTTCGGCAAGAACCAATGAGGTTCATTCTCGTGTTACGCAGCACGTTTGAGTTTCAGCAAGAACCAATGAGGTTCATTCTCGTGCTCAATTCATTTGGATTAGCTTTACAATCTCTTTATGAACTTTTTGAAGCGTCAGGTAGTTGCGTAGCTGTCAATGGAGGGACAGAAATCTCTCAGATTTCATCAAGAAGATCTTCATTTGTGTTTCGAAGATGAACGAAAGACTTGCGGGTTTGGAACGACATGATGGTGAGTAAATTATGACAATTTTCATTTTTGGGTGAACTTTCCCTTTAAATAAAGATACATTTACTTGAGAAGCAAAATTACTTGAGGTATAAAGTCTTGTTTCCTTAAAAATTATCATAATTAATTGAGTTATGGGTATAGGGTAAGAAAAATATATAGGTATGGGGTCAGTTTTTTTCTGACCCCACTGGCAGATATTTGTTATTGTTTCAAGCATGAATTCACTTAATTGTATGAATTTTTCAGATAAACAAGACTATATTATCATGTCATTTTGCTTCTCAAGTAAATGTATCTTGATTTAAGAAAGTTTTGACATTCTTTCTTTTGACGAACACAAAATTAGATGTTTAGCACAATGTTAATGCTGCACATTTAAACACAATGAAAGCATAAATTTCCCAAAAAAAAGCTCTAAAATCCCATTCAATGTGGTTTTTGAAGCTTGACAGCTGATCACGGGCCTTTCACCACCAAAAAATGGCAGATTTTGCGCTATATATTTTAATTATTCTGAAGGCATTCAGTAGCTTTGTGTAAAGAACAGACCAATATTTTAAGAGTAAATGTTGCCAGAACATAACTTTTTGGATGAACTATCCCGTTGCCTGTCCTAGAGTAAACTTTCATTGCAATGGGAATGCATACACTTTTGGCTCAGAATATTTTTATACTAACTCGGTCTAATTTAGCATTTCTTAACACTGAAAGCATTTTTTTTATTTATGCGTGTTAGAAGTCAGCTTATTGAAATTCCCTCTGATTATTTTAATTTATGTATGCAATGGTAGCAAACGGTACTGATTGAGAAGCAATATAAGCCATATAAACTTTAAATTATGCAATGAGAGGGACAAAATTTAAGACGTTTGAATATTATTTTTGGGACATCTATTATTAACTTAATGAAATATTTACTCGTTTTGTAATTTAAATGTTTTGTTATTATTATTGTTATTATTGTAAAGCAACCAAAAAGAAAATCCAATGGTACGCAAGCAATGAAGGAAGGATATTTCATTGTAAGATTATATCTCAGAATAATATCTCAGTCTGAAATGTTTAATATTAATAACATGAAGTAGCAAGCATTAAGACATCCAGAAATGTTTTAGACTGAGTAAATCTGAGTAACATCTATAACAAAAACAATCAATAAATGTACAAAGATATGTTACGAGAGGTGACGTCCTGCACTCTCCACTTGTTTTATTTTGGTATCCAATGTTTAGCAAGTTAATTTATTTTAGATGTAATTTTTATTTAATGTTTTTTGGTGACTACAAGAACGACCAAACTCTTGCAGCAGTGGCCTAAATCTCTGCATCTTCAGATACAGACATGATCAAATCTCACGCATGCTCTTGCAAAACAATCAGTTTCAGTCCCTTGTGCAGATATGAAATCATAATCAATACAATCATCAGCCTTCTCTTCTATAACTGGATGGTTAACTGCACTTTGTAGGTTGGTTAAACACTATGCAAACTGTACTACAACAATCAAACTCTGAAATGTCTCTGCTGTGTGCTAATGTTCTTGAGGTACAATACAATCAAAATACTTTAATGGCATTTTAGACAACACATGAAAACTAGGAAATCTCTGATAAAAGTACTGGCAAATGAACTGTTTATGATGAGATTGGCCGCAGGCAAACATTATACTGAACAGACAATCAAATACCGGAAAAGCTTATCATCTCAATTTCTAGAATTTATTTATTGGTCAACAAACCATAACGAGATGGGATAAAATGATCACTGACGAGAACACGTTACGGATTTTGAAACGATTATATTTGTAATGATGTGATTCTTCTTTACACTTTGTAGTTGGCATCTTTCATGATTAATGTATATGGATCTGGATTCAACAACAAGTGGTACTTGATCAAATGTTTGTCCAAATGTAAGTTAACCGGCTGCTGGCAGCGCCCTTCTGAAACAAATGTCACTTGTCTTTTTTATTTCTATTTTTGTGTAGAACAAAGCACTTCTTTTAAAGGGATGCAAAACAAATGAAGCCTAAATGCCAGATATAAAGAACACCAATACATGTCTGGGTTATGTTTTACTCAAGAAGTTATATTTTGCATGAAGAAAAGGCAATTGACGATTAAGAAAATGTTCTTCCCAGACTAACCTTTCTGTTCGAATCAGCTTCAATTAAATCGAGTACAACTACAAAATACTTTTTAATATCAATATGCATATTTGTAGAAACGACTAATCTGAGCTTAAAACGAGTCTGTATGTGTTTGTCACCCCGGCTATTTGTTCTGTACAGTATTAAACGCCATTTCTCTTAGTTCACTTACACTGCTGTCCTTGACTGCCCCACTATTTGAGTTTGCCTTTTCTTTACCATGGTGTCTTCTGGTAGTGAGGAGAGCGTTTATGTTTACAGAATGTTTACAAAAACTGCAAGCAGGGAACTGCTAATGTAAAGAACCTCTGCACTGTTAACTTTTTATGAATCCATGTTTAATTGCTTCAACATGCCTGATAACACAAGAACAACATTGGTCTGTCTTAATCAAACATGTCACAGGGCCAAAATATTGATATTGATATCCTTTTGGGCGTTTTACTATGTTTTTCATTCACCCTTTTTTTTTATGTATACCCTTGCAAGAGTCTTACAACTTCTGGGTCAAGTAGCTGAGATTCCTTCCATAAGACTATTTATATCTGTTCTATATATTAAAACAAGCATTGAGATTTCATTTACGAACGTTTTGTCATTTTCACAGACATTCAGAGAGTTTTGGGATTCTCCTATGGAATATCTATTTGCAAATTTCATTTATATTGCCAGTACGCAAGGTCAATTTTAAATATGAAGAAAACCGAATGCTTCCGCAACATATTTTGCGCTTTGTTATTTTCGTTTCTGGACCCTGGAAACACAATGCTATTGAAATATGCATTATTTTGATTCATCACAATGCTTTGTTTGTAAACAACTTCCTTGCACATACTGTACAGATGTTTAAGTTTCAACAGTTCTGTTTGTGAAACTTTAACCTGTTTGTATGGGACAAACTATCCAGTAAAAAATATTGTGAGATTTTTGAGCGTTTCTGATGATTGTATCATTTGTCTTCGAGAATAAAAATGGCTTTTTGTTATAACTTGTCGCTTTCCTTCTTTTTTTTCCCATTTCATTAATGGGAAACATAAGAGTTTGATAAACACAAATGTGCAGTTTTGAAACTTTATGCATTTATGAAGTTTGAAGGAATAGATCAAATGTGTCCTATTCTCGAGACATTACGCATGAAAAAGTTAACGATATAGACCAAATATTATACAAGTGCATAAAAGTTATAAATGTAAGTTTACTTTCCACCCCATTTTAAATAATAAAAAGTCTTGCCATCATGATTGACTTTATTAAAAACACATGAGAGCAGGTGCTTCCTAGAAAACTTGAACTTGTTTTAGAAGCACCAAGGGGAGCAAGAAAAACTTCTTTCACTGCGCTAAAGTTAAAAAACAACCCGAGGCACTGCTGGTTTGACAGTTCTCATACGGCTGCA